TTTATTATTAATATTTAATATTTTATTTACAGAGTTATTGATGATCCTTTGGAAGTTTTTGAAAGAAAGAAGATTGGGCAAACGATGACGATCTCGATCTAGATCATTTTCAAGACGTTCTCCTCTATCATCCCGTATGAGTATATCTCGTAGTCCAGCTCCCAAGAGAAGGTCATCAAGAACACTATGTTAACGTAGCCGAACTCCTAGAAGATTATCTCGCAGCGGAAGCTTTTCCACTAGCCGGTATATTTAATTTCCTTTGTCTTAGAAATTAAAATATAAATTTCAAAAAATTTATAGAATCATTCTGTCTAATTTCAGATCAAGATCATATTCTCGCAGTGAATCGCCAAGAGGTGGTAATTTAAGGAGTCAGGAAAGAAATCGGGACTGTGATTTTTATTTCAGGAAATCAAGCAGTCGTCATTTACCTCAAAATTCATCATTACATCATAATATATCACCAGTTATGCGGGAATGTCATTACTTGATTCGGGAGGACACCAACCACTACCAATCAACAGGTAATTCCCTGACCATAGTATTTACATTCTTCTCCTTAAAAAAAAATTTTATGTTTATACAATGTTTTTTTAAAGTTAACAATTAATATTTTTGAAAATTCACCAAGAAGATAGGAGATAGAAATTTATTTTGAGATAAATAAAATGATGTTTAAAAGATGTTCAAAGAATTTCTTGGCTTCTTTTGACAGGCGGTCATTTGTGCCATATGCACTCTAACAATTCTACCATGTAACTTTTGTGTCAAACTCTAACTTTTTACTAATGGTTAATAAATTACGTCGATATAATAGGGATAGTTTTAATTTTCTATTAATAAACTAAATCTCTAGTAATTTTATTGAGATAATATTCGTAATCTTTTTTAATCTTAGATAAAATAATCTTAAAAAATCGAAAATGAAATCTTTTCAATTTATTTACTGATTGTTTTTTTTTTATTTCAGTTATTGCCAGCTAATGTAGTGGATCCAATGGAATTGCTGTCATACTTGGACCCTCCAGACCTCTTTCTTTCTATCATTACTATATTTTTTTTTAGAAATAACATGACATTGTAAATGTCACAAAACAATTTTTATCCAATGTATTTTATATAAATTTACATACAGGAAATATTATTATTATGAATGTATACAACAATCTATTTTCTACAATAAATAATAGTTTCTTAGAATAAATTAATTGTAATAAATAATATTATTATTTTTCCTTCCCCCTTCTTAACTTATTTATACTTACTTATTGATATGTTTACGCGCAGACTAAACATCGGTGTTAACAAAAATTTGTTGAAGCATTTACACACAACCCCGACGTTAGGCCGGCGGTAACACCGATGTTACTTAATTCCACGCCTATAGTTCATGTGTGAGATAACAAACTGGAACAGTGAATTGGAATATAAAAAGACAATTATTGTTTATTGTAATAAACATTCTTGTCGACGCATCGCAATTTGCCATTGTTTCCGTAGATTGATATCATTTTGGTACATGGAACAAAATGCTCTTTTCATGATTCACTTTATGTCTAGATTTGCACCCCGAAACAACACAATATGCCATACTGATATTAATGCTCTAACTTTCATAATAATTCACTCGGCTGATAATCGCTTCAATATGGAAACTACGTGAACACTGTTTTTATAAATTTGAGTCATACAGAATGATGCTTTACTATATGAGTAAATGATCAATGTTTGAAATAATTAGGCTACTTATATGTACTTTCCAGGTTCATAGATATTTTTTTAAGAGCGTTACCTGAAAACTGTTAGGTCGATCGGCTACTTTTGACTTCCCACCAAGTCATGGAACATGCCGAGTACATGCGATTTGCATTATATAGGCGTGAAAATCGTCCGAGAAATCCATCCTACAAGGTGGAGTTAGTGTAGTTGACTAAATATTTTAAGAAATTGGTATCCACCCTATTTATTAAGACACTCACGTTTAAAGTTAAATGGCTACAGCTTGTCTTAGGGTGCTTTCCACTTAGGACACTGTGTCGAGTTGTGTTACACATTGTGTTGCTTGGTGTCTAGTTTGCCTGTATCCGGTTATGTATAATTGCGTCTCTAAATGGAACGGTCAAGTGGGACACAAAGCTACACAACTCGAAATAGTGTCGAGCTGTGTTCCTAAATGGAAAGCACCCTTAATGTAGCCCGCATATATCTGTCTATTCAACTTTTACCTTGCCCGCATATTATCCAGGTATCCAAAACAGCCTAAGTGGTATTGACCATTGAAGCACTAGGGTAGTGCTGAATTGCCAATAATTCAATTGTAAAATAAAACAGAACAATGAATTGGCGTTGACAAACTTTTAGAAGTAACCAAATACGGCGATAAAGTTGGTAGATTTCCACATTCCTATCTCGAAAGGTCAATGGTTATAATGACTGTACATAAGATTAACTTTTGTTCGCAAAACTATAATAGTTTGGAGAACTCCATTTCTTTTACAATACTACTGTTGACTTGTGAGGTAGATGCAGTTAACAATCATAGGATTTATTGAAAAGCTGCAATTGATTCTAAGAAGAATAACACCAAATCCAAGTATTTGAACGTTTTAGTACTCGAAGTAAAGGTACAAAGTAATTTTGCCGTGAGCTTCAAGGATTCGGAATAGTCTCTCTGCAAAAAACATGCAGATATTTTCCCTCATGTTCTGATCTTGCTACTTACACTTCAAATCCTCTAAAATCACAATTATTGTTATTAATTTAAAAATTAATATTATTTATTAAAAATTAATATCTTCGATAGTTTTGATATTTAAGGAATGAAAATTGACAATAATACTATAAATGACTCAATTAACAATGTAGAGTAGATAAATTAATTATTAAATTTTTTTTTAAGTCGAATGATAATTCATGAGAGCATCAACTTGCTCACAAAGGTCCCAGATTTCAAGGACTTTGAAAATTCAGGTTTTTGTGAAGTATGAATGCACGATGTGCTTTAAGTCTAGCTATGAATATGACTACTCGTTCACTCATTGGTATCAGTGTTTTTGCTTGCATTTCTGCACTTACAGCAATCATTTTGGCAACTCAAACAAATCTATTTGGAAAAAAATATTCATTTGGTGAATTACATGATATTGTTTCATTAGCAGACATTAGATTCTGTGGAAGTTTAATGTTGAGAGCTTATCTAATAACATCATTAAATAGTTTTTCGGTAATTATAGTTTTTTATGAACATTCGTTATTATTATTACGCATTTCATATTTTATTTTTTGGGGCAAGAGAATTTAATTTCGAATTTAATGTACGAAAGATAGTTAATTTTCAATTAAATTGAAAACTTTTTCAGTAGAAACGTTTGTTTACATTAAGTTTGAAAAATGAGTTAAATAAAAATTATTATTTCCATATGAAATAACATAAATATTCGTCTTATAACATGATTTTATGTGCAAATTTGTAATTGTCTTCTCTGTGCTTAAAAAAACAATGCATTTTTTTTAGTTTGATCATAAGAGCAAGATAAAAAGACATTTTTTTGCTATCATATTTAATGCATCTGGGACAACAATTGCTAGATTTCCTACCAATGGAATGGTTCTGTCTGTTAAATTGAAAGATCAAGGTGAAGATTTATTGATTGGCAGAACTTTGGAATCAACTTCTTTAGTTCCAATACTTGGATTATATCAAGTTGAAAATACTCGAGGGAAACTTAAAGTAGCCAATGAGCCTGGTAATGATACAAATGAACATTTAACATTGTTATCAGAAAAACAAGATCAGATAAGTGATAATGTTATTGATAAAAATAATCAAAAGAATCCAAATTTTAATCAAGATCAAATCAATTCTAATAATAATAATAAAAAATCCGGAGGAAAATTAGTTGTCTATGGTGATTCGAATTGTATTGATGATAGTAATCATAGGAAACGTAAGAATTAATTAATAATTTATTTATTCAGTTATAAATCAAGTAAGTTTCTTTTTTTTCTAAATTTAATTATCTTTTTCAGCATCATGTTTTTGGATGTTAGATGCAATTCTTGAATACACGGCAACAGGTCACATTCCTTCGATATTTATGGATGACAACCTTCATCATCTAGGCCATAAATCAGAAATAATATCAGAGAAACTCGAAATTGGCATATTACCGGAAAGGATGGAAGGGAATCATTTGTACAGACACAGTAAAGTGTTGAAGAATGATAATATTGATAATAAAGCTATTCAGCTACTTCCAACTTGTCCAGTACTTAATTATGCCATCTCTCAACCACTCAACGAATCAATTCCTATGTAATTAATATTTATTTTTTATAATTTAATTGAAGTTGTGAAATGCTAAAGCTGGAATGATCTCTTAGACAATTACCAAAATAAACTTTTTTTTCTACTACATAAAAGCTTTATATTTTTTATTAAATATATTCACTTTTACTTGTTGTTATTAATATGTTTTAACACTAATTATTTTTTGTTACTGATATGAAAATTAATATTAACACTTATTGTCACTTACACATGGGGATATCAACTGCCAATACTTTCTCACTTTTAATCCTATCTTTTCACATATATTACCGATAATAAAAAATTCGGAGTTTTCATTTATTTTATATCTTTATGTGTTGTTTAATAAAATCAGTCGCCATCCTTTGATAAGTAATATTTCAGATATAAACATTTAAATTGTCATCATTTTATTTTTATTATTATTATTGTGCAGTAGGATCCATGTATTTTCAACTAGAAAATTTTCATTAGAATAATTAAATGAATAAGACAAATAATTTTAGTATGTCTAAACTGAATTAATTACAAGTAGATAGAGATGAAAATACATAGACCCTACTGTATCTATGTTAAAAATTAATTTTACATCAAATATTAAATTACAATTGTTAATTTTTAATAAATAAATACGTAGAAAACAATTACCATTAGACATTTTATATTATTAATATATACAATATTTTTATCAATTGTAAAATGGATTATATGTAACCCAATGAGCTTTTGTTTGTTCTTTAGCAGATTTATGACTGGTAAAAATACTTTTCAATACTTCTGAAGCATTTGGATCTTTAGCAACACTATAATTATCTTTGATTTTCTTAAACGCTGGATCCTGAGGTTCAATATTTTTTGAAGTACTTCCAATACTTGAACAACTAGTACTATCATTCATCACTCCTTCAGTTTTAATTTTTTTTGAACTAGGTTTCGAATCATTTAGAGTTTTATTTGCTTTCATGACATCATCAAGCTGATCTTTTTCCTCTTCAACTTGTTGACTGTCAGCATTAGCACGTTTCTTGCTAGATTTTTTGTTGCTTTTATTTTTGTTTTTCTTGTTTGCATGTTTTCAATCATGAGATTCAAATCATCACCTTCAGCATTCATTATGACGACATCTGATGGTTCGAAGGGAGTCTGACATTGATGACAAACCTACGAATAAATGAAAGAATAGTTTTTATTGGAGTTTATGTAGAAAGTTGATGCAGTAATTGTGTTATATGATGGTACTTACTGTTGTTTTAACTTGCTTAAGTGCTCGTTCACTCATGACACATCCACAAGTCCAAAGGAAACAGAATTTATACTTTCCATTCATTTCTAATCCTATGACAGGACAAATATAAGGACTTTTATTATGACTGTAATCATCACCTTTCTCTATTTTAGCATCATCGTAGCTGGATTTGGGGTTAAGTTCAAACTTTTGACGTCTTTTAATGTTTTTATATGAACTGCTGATTCTGGAAGAATTGATCGATCCAACAATCCTTCAATGACAGCTTCTTTGCTGTATAATTTACCAAGACTGCAACTCACAATTGGAGATTGCAATGGTAATTGTTTTATTGTACAATGTTTCCATTTGAAAGCTAACTCTGCATTTTTATCTTTCTATAAATGTAAGAAAATTAATTTGTTAAATAAATAAAAGAAACAATAAGACGTAGTAAATTAATTATTGCTTTTAGTATTTGATAATAAAGTTGATTAACCTTACCTGTTCTGGCTTTTTTTTAAGACGCACCAATTCATCTCGACGGGGAATCGTACCTCCATCACAACCCATGATTATAATTAATTGTTTTTTTTAATTTATAAATCCAACAAAAGATATGAATAATAACAATTACACGATTTTATTGTATAAACAAACTTTAGTGAGCATCGATCATCACATATGTCAATGTTGCGTAGGTTATACTAGTATTCAGTGACGCCATCTACAACAATTTAAATACCTTTTAAACGCGACATGGATGCTGCCTCAATAAATTAATTTAATAAATTGTTTTTGATATTATTGTTTTCTGTACGATATTAATATTTATCATTTAATTCTCTCCAAAATATTTCCAAATTAATAACTTAATTGACTGCGTTTAGATGGATTTTTTTTTGGAGTCCCTATCACCTTTTTGCTTTTTGATGGAGTTGAAGGAATTTCAGACAGAGCTTCTCCGATATGTTGCTAAAAATAAGTAAAATTCCCTAAAAATAATTTCAATTTTTAATCATTTTAGTGGATTGTTTATTATTTGTCTTTTAAATCTTAATTTTATCATTCGGACATTACCTGAAAGTACTTTAGGTGGTGTAATTGATCAGATGCGCTCACAAAAGCGCGCGAAAAAAAAAAAAAAAAAAAAAAACCCTAAGACACACAACAAACACAAAAAAAAACACACCACAAAAAAACAAACAACAAAAAAAAAAAAAAAAAAAAAAAAACAAAAAAAACAAAACAAAAAAAAAGAAAACAAAACTGCCCGCCGCTAACAAAAAAGAAAAAAAAAAAAAAAAACCACAAACAACCAAAAAAACCAAGAAAAAAACAAAAAACACAACAGACAAAAAAAAAAGAAACCACAAAAAAAAACAAAACAAAAAAAAACAAACAAAAACAAAAAAAAAAAAAAAAAAAAAAAACAAAAAGAACGCAAAAAAAAAAACAGAAAAAAAAAACATAAGCACAAAAAAAAAAAACAAAAAAAAAAAAAAACCCAACCTAGAAAAACAAACAAAAAAAAAAAAAAACAAAAAAAAAACACCCAAGAAAAAAAAAAAAACAAAAAAAAACCAAAACAAAAACAAAGAAAAAAAAAAAAAAAAAAAAAACACAAAAAACAAAACACACACAAACACAAAAAAAACAAAAAACAAAAGGAACAACAACAAACCAAAAAAAACAAAAACAAAACAAAAAAAAAACAAAAACAAAAAAAACACAGCTGCTTCCGTTAAAGTCCTCTAAGACAGTACTGTAAGACAAGCGAAAAGAAGCGAACAGCGCCATTTGGCTCATTCCTGCCTAAAGTCCTAGATGAACTTAGGACTTAAGTCGTCCTCTCTTGCCTGACTCTATCTTCCTTGCCAGACTCTAATGCTGTTCGAATAATTCTTTTCAATACTTCTTTGCAACCTTTGCCTTTGATAATTCTCCAATACTACTACTATACTTCTGTCTCTCCTCCTCACGCGCAATTAAGCACAAAACAAAACCATATTTCTTTGAAAAAACATATATAAGCATCGTTTTTTAATAAATGAATTTTGTCGTTGACTCCATAAAAAGGAGCAGCAGAAAGTTTACCTGAATCAGTTTGGTTTTTGTGTTTATAGCACACACTGGGCTGTTCGTTACGCCTACTTATCCCGCATTAAACATAATGCTAGAAAAGGATCCTATCATTGCTTCAATTATCTATCCTTCTTCTATCTGATCTAGTTTGTTTAAAAAAGAAAGCTTCTCAGTCTATTCTATTGAAAAACTACTGGACACTGGCCAAAACTAACAACTTGATTTTTTGGTGCTGGGGTTGCAATTTCTTATTGGAATTTTCTTTTGCCCCTTCTATATCCTAAAATAGAATACAAAAAACATACATGGAAATTCCTACTTAACGATAAAAATGAAATGACGTAATTGTTTTGTTGTGATGTTTATTTTGAACAGAAACGAAATTTGACTAATCCTAGTAGTTAATAGGATGAGTCCAATTTTACTTTCTTTTATATTTTTTAGCCCAGGTATGCAAACTTAGATTGTTACAACTACAACTGCTTGTCGAACTTTCTAAAGTGCAATATAGATGATAATAATAGAGTCAGAAATTTAGAGAGACAATGTACTTAACTAGAGGCCGGTTACGTGACATTTCCGAGCCCAAGTGGCTCTTCAGGTATCATTTCCGGAGCGATTACTCATGCAAGTAACAATGAGAGGTATAAGATTTTATTTGGTAGACCTTATTACTGGTGATTTATCTGTCTGTGATCCGAACACTTTCAAAATAGAATAGACAACTAACACAATACCAGTCCTTATTCTCAGACACTTTTAAATGACAATTAGGATGGGAAATCCAGGAAATTAAAATTTATGGAATCATATAAACGGTATTATAAATTGACTAAATTCATTTTCATTGCAATAAAGATGGATAAATTGAATTGTGACATATTCTAAATTTTAAATAAGTAAATAATGAAATAATAAGTAAATAAATAAGTAAGGAAATGAATAAAGTAACAAGTAAATAAATAGATCAGTGAGTAAATAAATAAAGTGAATGAGTAAATAAATAAAGTACTAGCCAAATAAATAAATAACTCAGTAAATAAAGTCTAAAATAATCAAAGACTTTGATAATTTTATAGAAAAGAAAAAAAGGGCAAAGTGAAACACTCGTGTAAATGTATTAATTCACACTGATAGAAGAATATATTTGGTGGGACTAAATGAATTCATTAAAATTATTTTACAACATTTATTTGATACATACAAAGATTTATTTGTAGGTAATAAATCTTCTTTGCAAAGGGCTGTTTGATGTCATTATATTTATAAACCATCAAAAATTCACACGAAATTAAATGGTTATAATGTAATTGCTCGTCGAGCTATTGTTTAAAAGAAAATATTAATTTTAATCATTACGAAACCGTTATTTTTTATTTAAAAATTTTCAATAATAAAAGTTATTTCATAACATAACCTAACATTTGATTATGCTTTACCGTCATTCTACCTTACCATCGAGCCCAATCATAGTATTTAGATGAGAAATAAATATTTGTTAGCAGCTAAGAAATCATTCATCGAGCCAAATAAATCTACTCTAATAAATAAATTCTCAACTGTAAACAAATGTTCATTCGATTTCTTTTTCAAATAACATATTTATTAGCTGCTAATAAATTATGTTAGATACAAAGAAATACTTCTATCAGTGCAGTAAATGAGTTTCAAAATACCTATTTAACTTTTAGTTTATAATTTTTCAATTTATTGATGCATTAAAAATTATTAACATTTGTTAATATAATAATTATTTGTTAATTTACATTTTTCTTGGTGTTTTACTTTACCCCATTTTCCCCTACCCTCAATATGCATGTGAAAATTTTGCAATGATTTTCCTGTTTTAATCCTTCTTCAAAAGTTTCCAGTAAGATTTATAATTTTATTGAATTTTATTCATGGTTTTTATACGTACATTTTTACCTTAAATATCTATCCCTTTTTTTAATTATAAATTTCATACGTGTAAAGTATTTGAGAAAAATTATTTAAAACACTTTATTTTAATTAATACTCTTAAAGTATTTGTATTTTAAATACTTTTAAATGAAATTATTTATTTTTTGTATTTAAATAAATATTTGCATTGTGATAATTATCGTAAAAACTTTCTCAATAATTTATACATAATTAGTTTTTTATGATTACATATTCTGTTGAGTTGAATTATATGTACATCACTTTTAAATCAAAAAATATTATCAAAAGTATTCGCAAAATCACATAAATTAAAGAAATGTTGTATTTAAATACAAATAGTCAATTATTTAATTTGGAAGTATTTTAAATACTTTTTCTCAAATATTTTACAAATATGCTAAATTTAAATAAAATAAAATAACATACAAATCTTCCAAAATGGTGGAAGAAGGAGGAACTAAGTGGTGGGGAACCTGAAGCTTCAAGCTCATTGGCCTTCCACCTCTGACTCTCAGTCCGTCCCACCATGATTTTCGCTACTGCGCATTCGTCAACCCAAATGAAGCCTGTCCACAGAATCTTCTTCATTCTCCGGCCGACGGCAGTAGCAAGTGGTTGTTGCAAAAATCTCTCTAAGTGTCTAGCAAAGTGTCAGTTGAATGTATACACAAAAAGTGGTTTCTTCGTGATTTATTGTGAAGTATTTACTCACCATAATCAGGATTGTGAAGGAATATAAACATTGTTACAAGTGATATCCATTATTAAGTGAATTTGCTAGGAGCTGTTAAAGAATTGGATTATCAATTTCATCGTTTCCACCACAATATCATTAACGAGTAAGTACTCTAATCATATTTTAATCTTTATTTATGTCATTTTTTAGGCACGACTACGGTTTCCGTGGCGCCACGAAATGATAATGAATTTCGATAGAACAGTCCAAAATAAGACGAAAATGAAGAATAAAATTTTTTCATATCTCACTTAGTTTTCGAGATATTGATACTTTAAATTTTGGGTTTATATGGGCTTATACATGGGCATAATTTTGGACTACAGAATTAGAGGGTTTTCTCTGGTGGCGGCCTTCGGCCGCACCGTTTACTGCAAAAGAATCACCCTGCAAGTACATTGTACCAAGTTACAACAATTTTGCGAGGCAAAAAAAAATCGCGGCGCCACGGAAACCGTAGTCTCCCCATTTTTTATACACAATTATTTTTTTATTTACATTTTAACTCATTTCTACCGATGTCAGTATTTTGCGTTTGCACCTAAATTTTTAATTCTTATGAATTATAGATTCGTACGTGCTCATTTTTTTACAAGTACATTTGTTTTATTAATTGTTTTTACATCATTAGATTTTTGTACTTATAATACCTCATTGTTATTTTTCCTTATAACTTATCAATTCGGCTTCATTTCTTTACACTATAATTATTTCAACCATTATTCATTCTTTCGCGAAAAAAAAACCCTCATCAATTGTTATCAGATAATAAATTAATTTATCATTAATTAAATTCGAAAAATATTCACAAAACTAATTTTTTGCTCCT